GGCGGCGGCGGCGCACAGCCTTTGCACCAGGGTTCCGTCGCCGGGGCCGCGTGCGCTCAGGGCACTTTGCAGGGCATCCGGGCCTGGTAGGGACGAGGCGGGTCAGGCGGCAGGCACCCCACCGCAGCCTGGAGCCGCGGAACTGAAGCGCGAGAAAGGCTGGCCCCAAGGGCCGAGGCCCCTCGTTAAAAAATACACACGTCTTGCTCGCCAGGGCTCCAGATCGCGGCTCACTGAGGCCCGCGGAAAGGGGCTCAGGGGCGAGGAAGACGCCTGGGTCTGGTCGCCCGGACTGTCTCTGAGGCAGAAACTCGGCCTGGGGCCAGGGAGGACGATGGCCCCGATCCTGGGGCCTGAGGGGAGAGCGGGAGGCTGGGACTCTGGCTGCCGCTCGATTCTCCCAGAGCGAGAAGAGCTTCGCTCCCTGGGCCTTCCTGTGGCCTCCGCGAAGCGTTGGCGGGGCACCCGAGGACAGAGAAAGCATGAAGGAGAGAAAGATGGGGGTCGTGGCGTGAGAAACCCAGAGCCCATCGATCCTCTGCGCCCTGTGCGGGCCCGGAACGCTACACCACGTCTTCCTTCCCCACCGCCTCCCTCCGCGGTAGATGCCTCGCGCGGATCTCTGTGTTGGGGAAGGCAAGACTCTTGGAGGAAAAACCAGCCCAGGGAGATCAAAAGTTTGGAAGGGGAGGGGTGAACAAATCCGGGACCTGGTGGCACCCCGGAGGTGTTACTGGGCTTTCTTTCTGTCTCGTATTCTGTATTCCGCACATAGTATCTATCTATATGTAACTATATCCACACGCCGTGTACACACCCGCTGTCATACACTACAGGTCAATAAACAGGTGCAATATTTCCAAACTGTCGGCCGGCTACAGACTCTGTTTAGCCCAGGAGAGGAGGAGGGGTCCTTTAAACAGGGCAAGAAAGGAAGGAAAAGGTGCGTACGGGGCAGAAACCCTGCCTAGGCGGATGCAGGCTTGGTCTCCCGAGCCAGGTCCCAGGCAGCAAGTCTGGTCTCTACACGGCTTTGTTCATTAATTTTCTTTACTCCTCTGGGGAGAACAGGTTGGGAACTCTCGGCCTTTGAGGACGCGGGCTTTGTAAGCCTTCTCCCAAGTTTTCCCCAGACGCTTGAGCGAGCCGTCTGGACCTGCAGAGGGTCAAAGCTTAGATTCTGCGCACCTGGAGGGTCTCCAGGGAAGAGGAAACCTCGACCCCAGGCCCAGCCGCGGGGGCGCGAAGGCGGCTCCACCGTCGGCTGCCTCCCCGGCTTCCAGCGCACCCGGGGACGCTGCGTTGCGCCCCGCCGCGGCGCAGCTCTCCCCCTCGGCCGCCCTCCCTTCTCCCCCGGCGGCCGTGGCTTTATGCGGCTCCTTGTCACTTGCGGAGAATGCCTGTGCGAGGCCAGTGCTGCCACACGGCCGATTGTGAGCGTGCCAAGGCGGGTGAATGGGGAGGCCTCAGCGCGCCGCGCCATTGTGGGGCCGGGCCTCGCTGAAAGGCGGCTCCGGGCCGGGAAGGTGCGGAAAGAATGGCTTTTTATTGGAGTCCCGAACAAAAGGTGTGGTAGGAAGGCGAGGTCCCCTGCTTGAACAAAAACCCCAGCGCGTCGGATTGACGTCCTCCCCGCGCTCCCCATTGCTTCTCAGAGCGGGGGCTTTGTGCAGCAGTCTGCTCAACAGAGGGACGGAGAAATGCGCGGGGGTTTTGTTCCCCACTGATTAGGCCGGGCCAGCCCGGGCGCGGAGACGTTCAGCGGGAGTCGGCGGCCTGAATGCCGGGTCATTATTGCTACAAGTTTAGCAATTTCGCCCTTGCAGAAGGGGGTGGGGGCTGCTAGGCTGCGGCTGGGCGGCCCGGCTGGGGCGCTGGAGAGGCGCGCGGAGAAGGCGGAAGAAAGAGGAGGCGGGGGGAGGGAGAGAGAGGCAAGCCAGGGAGCCCTGGAAGCCCTCTGACCGCCCAGGATGCGACTTGCCCTCGTCCAAAAGGGCCTAGCGGGAGGCTGGAGGAGCGGTGCTGGAGCGGCAGACAGCCTTCCTCCGCGGCTTCTCAGGCGGCAGACACCCCTGAGCCAGGAGCCAAGAGAGTGCAACTGGGCGCTCAGCTCCTGGCCACTAATTCTCTCCTATCCAGCCGCCCTCAGGCTGGGACGCCGCCTCCGTCCTCACCACCACTGTCACTGCCAAGCTGCTCCAAGCTCCATTCCTAGCAAGCCTCCTCTTCTTGAGCCATTGTCTTTCCATGGGCTGCTTAGGCTGAGGGCCTGGGAAGGGACTCCTGCTTCCTTTCAGCCGGTAGCTGCCAAAGACTCCTTGATTCATCCTCCCGTTCAGTATATACACTGTGGGCCTACTACCTATTCACTCTCACTGTCCTATTTGCCCACGGCAGTGGGGTAAAAAAGCAGGGGAGGGACCAGCAGTTGGCGCAATGGCTAAGTCGCTGGACTCCCATGTAGTCGACCGTGGTTCTAGTCCCGGACCCGGTGGCTTAAACTCACACCAGGCGTGTGTGC